AAAGTGAAGGACTATTAGAACATGAGACAAAGATGAATCTCACACAAACACACTTACCCCAATTCCATGTAAAAAACTGACTATTGTTGTATTATTTACTAATAAATAACAATTGCTAAGTAACAAATTCTTACCATATGCCCAATGCTATTCTAAGTAATTTGTGTGTTTTTAACTCAATCTTCACAACAATCTTCGAAGTTAGTGGTCACACAGTATCCTGGGTGTACAAATTTAGTCACAAAGAGGGTAAGTAACTTGCCCAAGCCCATAGAGCAACTAAGTGCTACAGCTAAGGTGAAGGCACACAGTCTGGCATGTGAGTATGTATTTTAAACACTATGCCACACTGGAGAGATGGAGAGATGGTACAAATGCAGGGGGTGGGTAGCTCAATTTCTACTATGCAGAAAATAAAAAGTAAAAATATCAGTAGATAATGACTAAAACTGGTGGTGGTAGGGAGGGAGACAAGGAATCAAGAACTACCAGTGTAAGCATGCTGTGAAAAAATCTGGAGAAAAGATCACAAAAAATAGGGAATGCCACAGCAATGTGGCTCCTCTAGGAAATGGGTGAGAGTGGATCAGGGACTGCTATATTTAACTTAAAAGCTCCACAACATTATTCCATCTTTTAAAAACCAAATATACAGGCTACCTGTGATGGCGCATGCCTGTAATCTCAGCACTGGGGAGGCTGAGGCAGGAGAATTGCTGAATTGTAGGCCAAGATGGATGACACAGTGAGTTCAAGGCCAACCTGACCTGTGCAGGGAGACTCTGTCAAAAAGACATCATTTGACAAAAAGTTTAAAAAAAACTTAAATATTTAAAAAAGAATAGCTACTATTTACTGAACCCCAGTGTCCCTGGCACTTTGCAAAGCATTTTAAATTAATTTTCTCAAGGAATTCTAGCACTATGGACCTGGTTCTATTTTACTGATGAAAAACCAGATTAGCCGGGTATGGTGGTGAATGTCTGTACTCCAGCACTCAGGAGGCTGAGGCAGGAGGACCACTGTGAATTCAAGGTCAGCCTGGGTTACACGGAAAATTCAAGGCCAGCCTGAACCTTGTCTCAAACAACAGTAACAACAATACTAAATACCAAAAGGAGACAATAACAACAACAACACAACAACAAAACAAAACAAAAAAACCCAAAGAGGGCTGGGATTGTAGCTCAGTGCAAAGGCCCTGGGTTCAATCCACAGTATTAAACAAACAAATAAAACCCCAAACCACACCAGATTAAGAATTCACCTGCCTAGGGATCACTGGCTAGCACACATCAGAAGTGCAGTGCAGTGAGATTCTAGGTCCTTGTCTTCTGTGAACATGGAAGATGAAGGCCAACATGTCAATGGCAGCAAGTGACATGGTGGGATGTTAGGAGACAGCCTGGACAGGAGCTAGACTTGCTACTGGCTCGGAGGAGGGAGCAGGAGTGAGGAGGGGATTTGAGAAGTATGCCAAGGTTGCAAATTTGAGTGAATGAGGACAGGCTGTTTGTCTTGCCTACCACAGGGTCCACAGAAAGAGTTGAGGTCCAGATCTCCTATGGTTTGTTCAGAAGCTCAATCACAAACACTGTAAAATCCTAGGTATCTGTGGGCCACCTGTGGGCATAGATGCTGTGGTGAGTAGACTCTATAGGTCCCAGGAGAGAATTTGGTCCCATTGGTGTGGGACTCATGCACATGCAGAGCAGTTGACTGTCAACCACTCCTTTTCCCTGTACACTTGAGTAAGACAGTGAGCTCCTATTAGTAATCACAAGTCACTACAAGGGTGATCTGAATGAGGGTGACTTCCTCCATCTACACAAAATGTGAGGTCAACAGGGATGGAATCACAGCATGGGATTAACGTATCACTAACCCCCACTAACATTTACTGCATATTTCCTGTGGCCCTCCTGTCTAGAGTCACTGAATTCTCCCAGCAACCCTACGAGGCAGGCACAACTAGGACCTCCATGCCACCAGAGTAGTTCAGCCTCTTTCATGAAAGTAAGTTCTCCCTGTTAGTGGTGGGTTGAGACCCTGATTTAGTTTCAGACAGGATTGTTCTGAGGCACAGGCTCTTCCTCACTATACAGCTGGGTCATTAAGGAAGAACATAAATTTAGAAGGATGGAGGGATCTAGGAGTGGAAGACGGACAGTTCTGCAGGGGACTAGGTCCAAGTCATGGGCTGGTGATATGGTCCAGGACCCGAGGAAAAGAGCTGAAAAAGTCAATTTCAGATTATCCCAGTAAAGGTGAGCTGTGAGAGGGAGAAGAATATTCAGGAGAAACGAGAGAAGCCAGGAAAAAGCTTGAGGAAGAACTGACACTGAGCTCGGCAAAAGAAGACGCGAGTGAGACCAGGGCACAGGTGGAGGGGAGGAGTGAGGGAGGCAGGAGTTCCATTCACAGAAGCTGGGGACGTGTCTGTGATATTGGACTCTAACCCATCTCCAGGGCTCTGTGGCCTGTTGCTTGCTGCCTCACCAGCCTCCTTGGCGGTAATACCCCTCCAGTTCATGCTCTCCGTCCTCTACTCACTCCGGCCTTCTGACTCCCTCACCCGCCCTACCCTCCCACATGGTTCCTCTGTCCCCCATGCTTGTTGCAGCTCTCTTCTACTCACCACCACCAACTGGAACATTTCTGCTGTTCAAACAACTGTTTTCTCAAACTTTTTAATTGAAATATAATCCACTCATAGTTCAAAACTTCAATTTCAGTCCTTCTAAGGGACCCTCTCTTGTTATCAGTCACCCCAGAACAAGGCTAGACCCCCTGCTTCGTGGTCTCAGAGCATGTCACATTTTTCCTTTGTAGCACAGAAAATGGCTAAATAATCATTCCTGTATATTAGTTACAGAATATAACTTGATCTTTACTTACAGGTAAGCTCCATAAGGGTAGGAATTGAGTTTGTCTAAATAAGAGGTCAGCAAACTTGTTTTGAAAAGTGCCAGACAGTATAGTAAAACATTTTTTTACCACTGTTCAATTTTACCATTATAACCTGAAAACAGCCAAGACTATAATATATAAACAAAAGGTTGTAACGGTTTCAATAAAACTTTATTAACAAACCAGAAGGTAGAACAAAAGGTCATAGTTTACTGACACCTGGTCTAAATCACAAGCATCCAAGCTAGCATAAGACATATAGTTGGTAATGAATGAAGCTTAAAGGAAAAGCTATTGGGTTTAATGATGGATTGTGAGTGCTAGCAAGGGAAGGTGGTTTCAGTGGCATGGTGCAGCAGAAGTGAAATGACAGTACTGTGTAACACACAACACTGACAGTTTGTTTCAGGAGGTACACACTTTGTGGTGTAGCGCTGGGGAATAGTGCTCTTGCAGTGGAGATGGGTAGAGAGGGAACATGTTTGCAGGCTATGTCAACAAGGTAGGGTGTGTATGGCGGGGGTGGCAACAAAGAAGGAGGCTCCAGAGCTCTGGGGTGGTGTTGGTCATAAGGGAGGAGAGGAGGCCACCTTCTGAGGTCACAGAAAAAAGGAAAGGGAGCAGGAAGAAATGAGAAGGTCTTGCATTCTTCTTTCCTGTGAAACATGAGCCATCACACCCTGGTGGAGAACAGACTAGCGGCAGCCGAGGACCACAAGCATGTAGCACATTGGGAACTACTGACACCAGGGAAGAATGGAAGCCCATTATAGGCTTATGGAGACTCATGAAGCTGCACTCGTCATTTTTCTCTCTCTTCATTTGAGACTAACCAAGGTGTCATCTAAGTAACTTGTGGGTTCTGTGTTTTCAGTTCTGACTCAGTGTGAAGTGTGTCACTCTGAATCACCATATTTAAATTGCTACTTGCCATCACTTCCTATCACTTTACTTTCTCACGCATGTAGTGACAGGCAGGGCCTGAGGGTGAGGTCATGCTTTAAATATGTGAACATACCCCGTTCTTTTATTTATTTATTTATTTATTTGTTTGTTTGTTTGAGACAGGGTCTCCCTATGTAGTTCAGGTTAGCCTTGAGCTCACTATGTAGCCCAGGCTGGCCTCAACACATGATGATCCTCTTGCCTCAGCCTCCTCCTGAGTGCTGGGATTATATGCGTGTGTCAATTCTTTCTTGAAGGATATTGAAAGACTTTTTACTTGCAGAATTACAGATTTCATCCCTGTAACCCCTCAAATGTGTAGGAAACCCACAATTTGACAAAGCAGTTATCAAAAATACAAGCACATAAACTAACAAACTAACAATAGGAGTTTACAGTTTTTTAAGAAATGATCCTATGGGAGTTTCCCTCTCCTAGGTTGTAAAGTATTACTTTATGAGGCAGAGGATGATCTATCTAGAGCACAAAGCCATATTTTAACCCGACGATGGATACTACAGAATTCTTCTTTTAATGGAGGAAATCATTTGACTGGTGGGGGTTTGACAGTAAGAACAGAGCATAGCGGTTATTTAGGTCTATAGGCTGAACACAGTATTAAAACCCATAAAACACAACTTCTCTCATAGAAAAAAAGATATTTAAATATTAATACTTTTTACAAAGTAAAAAGGACAGGCAATCAACATTTATCCAAAAACACCAGAGACTTGAAAAAACCTAAAATTTTAACACTGATTCAATATTACTACCCTTTTAAGAATGTATCAGAAGTGTTTGGATCCCATTCTACTTCTTCAGAAGTACTAAAACCATCTAAGTATCTTTGACATACCAGAAAGAATACCAGGACCTATTTTCATCTGCTTTCCAAGGTGTAAGTGCTGTCAATACTTAAGAGACCAAAGCTTCTATGTCTATTCTAATCCTAAATAAAATTCTAATGCATATATTCATTTCGAGCTTTTCACTCCCCATAAGTCTGACGATAATTTTCCTAAACTGCACTACATCTCACTTCCTCTTTGGAGATGAAGAGAACTAATTTGGAACTCACTGGGCTCTACTTGTAATATACTTTTTTTTGGAAAGGACTTTCAATGTACATTAAATAAATATCTTACCCTATTGTTGGGTTGATATTCGGATCAAAACTGTCTTCCACAAACCGCCACACAATACTTGATTTACCTACACCTGTATCCTGAAAGAGAATGAGATGAGCAACAGAGAAAAAGTTAACTTTGTGCAGATACCAAAAAGAACATTGTGCCATAAGTTCTGGGTTTCAGAAAATCCAAGATGTGTCAATTTTACAAGTGGAGGGACACGAAAGTGGTTTTCATAAAAATTCCCTGGAGTAGATTTCAAAACAGGTAAAAGGCTCTGTAGTTTTTAAGAGACTAGAACCTCTTTGAAAGACCCAACGTTTCTGCCTTACGTGAAAAGTGACAAATACACTTGCTTTTTAAAAATACGTGTTAGCAAACTATGAATTCCAGGGTTAGTTCTGAGTAATCTCTTACGAACTCTAGCCCCACCCTATTTGAAGACCATAAAAGAATAGTTACCGGAATTCTTTTTAATTTTTAAAGTAGAAACTCAGGAATGAAAGGATAGATTTCACAAAGCTTTGAAATGGCCAAACTGCCCCAAGATGGGATGCCGAGGCTTCGAACTCATCTTTGGGGCCTGATGGTTTGAACTCCCCTCCTTTGTAACATAACTGCTAGCAGCGTCAGGAGTGTCCCTGAAGTTCAAAATCACCATACAGGGCGAAAAGAGGTCAGCCCTACTTGTAAAAGCTCAAGATCTATTATTGGCTTTACTTCGAAAGACTTGGCCAACTCCCAGCTAGTACCTTGGTGAGTTGGGAGCAAACTACTTTGGAGCGCTTCTCAACCTGGACATGATGGAGAGCAGGGAGGGCCGCTTGGCCCCTGGGGTCGGGAAGAGCCCAAGACTCCAGGGGAAGGGCAGGGTCCTTCCTGGCTCCGGCCCTCGGATGGGTGCAGGGAGGCGGCACTGCAGGGCGGCCCGGGGGCCGGGGGAAGCTCCGCGGAAGGCGGGAAGGGTGAAGGGGCC